TGTTATGTTACGTTTATAAAATATGTCATAACAAATTATAACATTTGACATAAATAAATTTGCTATAATAATTTGCCATAACAAATTATAACGTTTGACATAACTAAATTTGTTATAAAATTTGTCATAACAAATTATAAGATTTGACATAACTAAATTTGTTATAAAATTTGTCATAACAAATTTAGTCCTAAATGACGAAACGCGTCGAAAGAAAACTTTTTCAACTTTGCCATACATTTTCCCCCGATATTCTTCTTGATATGTAAATATATATATCGTTATCTCATATATATATATATATATATATATATATATATATATATAGATAACGATATATATATGCAAACTGGATATATATATATATATATATATATATATATATATATATATATATATATATATATATATATATATATTCTCTCCTATGAAAAGGATATATATATATATATATATATATATATATATATATATTCTCTATGCCGTTTCCACCAAAACTATAGAGACCCGTCTGTCCTGCTATTACCCAGAGTTCGGGAGAGAATATATATATATATATATATATATATATATATGTGTGTGTGTGTGTGTGTGTGTGTGTGTGTGTGTGTGTGTGTGTGTGTGTGTGTGTGTGTGTGTTCTTCTCAGACAGTACTGATTTGCTGTATCACAGCACCTCAGTGCGACTAGACATACAAATGCCTCAAGACAGAACCTAAACCCGACCTATTTGGTGACAATCAGGGTTTCTAACTCTAAGCTATCATCACTCGGCAGAGAGAAACTGCTAATTCTAGCGTATTGTTTTTACAAATGTAAACAAACGCCAATCAGTCTGTGTGTGCTTAAAATCATTTTACTGAAGAGCTTTTTATATATATATATATATATATATATATATATATATATATATATATATATATATATATATATATGCAGAAAAAATGATATATAAATTTTATATGCCAGAAGAATTTAATGACAAAATGGAAAAAGAAATTGTCGTTTGACACATTTCGTCATGTAGGACTTCATCGGAGTAAAATTATATTTATTTTGATGCAGCCATGCCTGCAACTTCGCTGATGAATTTGATCCATCACCTGTAATACTTGCCACAAGGAATACATGGATGAAACCTCGAGGAATTTAAATAAAAGATTATATGAACACAAAACAACTGACTGAATGCATTAGTTGCTCACTGTAACAAATCTGACCAGAATTTCGATTTAAAAAAAAGTGCTTCTTTAATTAAAAAGAAAACAAATTATTAAAACGAAGGTGTATGAAAAAAAAGTGTTTTAATCGCTAGATTATCCGCAGGAAATTTACGTCAAGGTTCTTTAAATTTCACCTTTTTTTGTGTGCAGATCTTCTATTATCACAAGTTGTGGTATTTAATAAGAAAAGTGATAAAAATATAAACAAATGCTTAAGAAACTAATTGAAATTGGCTCGAGATATGAAATACGAACACATATTTTTTAAAAAAATAATTAAAATTTACAGCGTCCTTTTCCCTTCGTGCGCGTGTGGACCTACATCGACGTCAGATGAAAACCAAAAGGACGAAACGCATTACCTGAACATTTTACGAAATTGCCATTAATTTTCCTAACGCACGGGCACACACACACACACACACACACACACACACACACACACACACACACACACACACACACACACACACACACACACAACACAAACAAACACACTCATATATATATATATATATATAAGTAACTCTATACTGATACTTATTATTAACACCCAACACACGCCTACCCAATTTAAACAATTCGCCCTAGCTGTTACCATGGAAATTTTGATTTCAATTTTTAAAATACGTAAATTTCAGAAACACGTTATTCAAAAAAAAATTTCGCTCGAAGATGGAACAGAGCTTACTTTAACTCAATTTAATTCAAATAATTATATTGAAGTTTTCGGCTCTTGTTTTGAAACATGAGACCTCTTATGTCGCGAGTTGGAATCATATTTTTAAATAAATAATTATATTTATGCTCTACTTTTGTATCGAGCACTATTTTAAAAAAAATAATAACTAAAATACTAAGGAACTGTGGATTATTTACCTAACCAGTTCCTTTCTATTTTCTATATACTTTCACACACACACACACACACACACACACATATATATATATATATATATATATATATATATATATATGAGTGTGTGTGTGTGTGTGTATCCAAATAAAGAGAAAGAAATTAGGTTTAGAATCCGCAGTACTTTAGCATTTTTTTAAAGTGCTTGATACAATGTATAGTATATTATAATACTTTTATTTAAAAATATTTTACATCGTGACACGGAAATTTCAAGCGATGTTGGGTAAATTTGATGAAATATCTCTCTCTCTCTCTCTCTCTCTCTATATATATATATATATATATATATATATATATATATATATATATATATATATATATATATATATATATATATATATATATGAGACACAGTGGA